GTGAAGATCAATTTTCTTTTGTTTGAGCCTGTCTTTCACCCGGTTCAACTGGAAACAGAAAATTAAGCAAACTCAAATTAACAGTCTTAAGCTGTTCAAAAACCTATTACCCCTGTTCTTCTGATAACCTCCTCATGAATAAATTTAAATAAATAAATAAAATAAAATAAAAAAAGAAGAAGAAGAAAAGGATTCATCACATGCTATAGGAGCTTTATATGGGACAAGTCAACCTGTAGAGTTGATGAGACCCGCAAGACTTGAATTTCCATACTAAGCAGTGATTACTTAGTAAAAGAAATTGACAACTAAAGGTAGTTACAATCCTATGCCCAAGAGTTAGCATTTGCATATATGATTATCAAATATATGACATATTTCATATTCCAGAGCGCCAATAACTAGTATATACCTTATAAGTGAATAAATAAATAAGGGGTAGGTAAAGATTACTCACCTGTATCTCAACAATTTTACAGATTTCTTTGGAGTCCAGAGGCTGGAAAACAATATACTCATCAATACGATTCATAAATTCTGCACGGAAAGTCTGTCTGGCCAACTCTACAACCTGTCCTTTCATCACCTCATAAACAGCCTCCTTGCTATCTTGTGTAGTTCGAAGAGTTTCAAGAATATAGCGAGAACCGATATTTGAAGTCATAAGTACTACACAATTTGTAAAACTGACAGTTCGTCCTTGAGAATCAGTTATCCTTCCATCATCCAACAACTGTAACAGAATATTAAATACATCTGGATGAGCCTTCTCAATTTCATCAAAGAGTACCACTGAATATGGTCTTCGACAAACTACTTCAGTGAGTTGCCCACCTTCTTCATAACCAACATAACCTGGTGGGGCCCCAACCAAGCGTGAGACTGCAAGCTTTTCCATGTACTCACTCATATCAATTCTGACAAGAGCATTCTCTGTATTAAAGAGATAACCAGCTAAAGCCTTTGCAAGCTCAGTTTTCCTAACACCAGTAGGGCCCATGAACATGAAGCTAGCTACTGGTCGATTTGGGTCAGACAACCCTGCCCTTGAACGTCGGATTGCGTCAGCCACTGATTTTACTGCAATATCTTGACCAACTACTCTCTTATGGAGCAACTCTTCCAGCATTACCAGTTTGTCCCTTTCTGACTGCTGGAGGTTTGACAAGGGTATACCAGTCCATTCGCTGACAATTTCAGCAATATCTACATCGGTGACTTCTTCTAGAAGCAAGGATTTTCCAGAATTTTGGAAGTCATAAAGGTTCTTCTCAGCTTCTTCTAACTGACGTTGAAGGGAAATTAAAGTACCATACTTGAGCTCAGCAGCACGATTTAGGTTATACTCACCCTCAGCAGCCTCCATTTCTAGATTAACTCTATCAATCTATAAACATTTGAAGCAAGTGAACCAGAAAATCAATTAAAAAAAATAGTGATTCAACACTAGCAACTATGAAATTATGCAAAATTTTACCTCTTCTTTTATTGATCGGATCCAAGTCATTAGAACCTTCTCACGATGCTGCTGTTCAGTTAATTCTTTCTGCTTCTGTTTAAGTAAGCTCAAATCATTTTCCAGCTTGCTCAACCATTCTTTGGATGCCTTTTCAGAGTCATTTTTCAGGGACAGCTTCTCCATTTCCAATTTCATCACTGCTCTGTCTATCTCATCCAACTCTGTTGGCTTGGAAGTGATCTCCATTTTCAGCTTTGCAGCTGCTTCATCAACAAGATCAATGGCTGAAAAGCGTGACAGATCAATTAAAAACTTCCAACAACCATTGTAAACCCAAATTATTTTCAGTCAACTTGGAATGTATCTATATAATGATTATTCTATTTTTCACTTTCTCCTATTCCAATTGCAATTGTTATGCTCTCGGGTTTGATATCAAACCATCAACCAAACCATAAGACTCTCTCCAATTAATTCTCCAATACACAAAGACAAACATATTTTGACTAAAAAATGTACAACAATTTTGTTTCCAAAGACAATACATCAACTTTGTACCTTTGTCCGGAAGAAACCGTTCTGTGATATATCTATCTGCAAGGACTGCTGCTGAAACGAGCGCACTGTCTGATATTTTAACACCATGATGAAGCTCATACCGTTCACGCAATCCACGGAGAATAGATATTGTGTCTTCAACAGATGGTTGACCACAATACACTTGTTGGAACCTACGCTCAAGTGCAGCATCTTTCTCAATATACTTCCTATATTCGTTCAATGTTGTTGCTCCGATGCATCGAAGTTCACCTCGCCCTAGCATTGGCTTCAACAAATTTCCAGCATCCATTCCACCACTCACAGCCCCTATAAACAAATAATCAGCAAATGCTTCAGGGGTTATAAAGAGCATCTTCTTCTCAAACTATCTTGTGCATGTACACTATTACCACCAATGAAGATCGAGCTCTCAGCTAAAATCAAAGTGAACTAACATGAAACAGATAAACCATTCAATCAACCTACCAAAGGGTCAGAATACTAAGTTTCACTAGCATATTAATCCAAAATTTCATAAATAGTATTATTATGTATAAAACATGAAGTTAAAATAATAAAACACCAAGTAGTTCACAATATGATCAACATTAAAATCAAACAGAAATGAAGACACCAACCTGCACCCACTACAGTGTGGATCTCGTCAATGAACAAAATAATCTGCCCATTTGAAGCAGTAACTTCCTTTAGTACAGCTTTCAACCTTTCCTCAAAATCTCCACGATACTTGGCACCAGCCAACAGTGAACCCATATCTAGGGAGATCAACTGTTCAATAAATGAAACATGGCCAACTTCAACACCACATTCCACAAAGCGTAATGGTCCAATTCCAACTGAACCATGTTGATTCAAGCACAAATCTAGAAATCAAAACTCATTTGGGTATTTGGACAACTTATTACTAATAATGGAAAGAATCAAACAAAAAATCCGACCTTCCTATTCAACAGTGCTTCTGGAACATCTCCACGCACAATCCTTTGAGCTAATCTGTTAAAAGAAGAAAAATCATTAGAACAGTACAAAATCTTCGTGAGGAACCCAAGTAGTAAATGTTATTGAAGGAAAAGATTTTTATATGTTTCCATATGCACGACAAGGAGACAAAATAATCCAAAAATCATACCCTTCAGCAATTGCAGTTTTGCC